AACACCAGTTCTAACCAAATAAAAACATGCTAAAAACCAGAAAATATTTAGATCAGTCCTGACACCTGAAAGGACAGATAGCAAAAAGATGTAAAAGGGAAGACATTAGCACCTAGCACAGATGCAGATGAAAATCCTTCTGCGAGTGTTGAAATATATTTGTTATTAAATTATTAATGCTCAAGTATTTCAGAATATATTGTTAATGCAGCAAAGTTTGAAACGTGTTGTGCACACATACAATCTTTCTGTTAGCACTGTTGAAAATTAGGATTAAAATAATGAAAAAAGTATTAATTTTTAATGTCTATCAATAACTTTTTACGTTAACTGTATTTTTCCCCATTTTTGTTTCATACTAAATAAAAATATTATTAGGACCTTTAGCATCCTCTTGTGGTCATAAAACTGCTTTGTAAACAACGTCTAGAGCAATTACAGTGAGTTTTGTTTCTTTTAACATAAAGAATTATTTTTGTGTAGAGCAATTACATTCAATACCACATTTTCATCTCACATCCAACATTTACACAATAACTAAATTACAAGAGTATCGGAAGAAAAACACACTTACAACCATGAGAAAACTTTCTTAAAACTTCAAAACGTCTTCTAAAGCACACATTACTAACCAGAAAGAATTCACATTCCCTTTGGTGGATAATGAATTGTGAAACACAGCCTTGATTTGAAAACATATGTAGAACAATATTATCATGTTCAGAAATTTCTGTTGGTAAACAGAACACATTTTGCTAAAGTTCATTCACTAGGTGGTGTTATTACAAATACCTGTCCAAAAAAAAAAAACCCCTGTAATGCCCTAATCCATGCAAGTCCAAAGTTTAATGAAAGAGAAACCACATGGATACGGTCTCCATGCTGAAAAGATACACGTGTTACAAGGTAGCAATTTAACGCTTGCTTGAGACCATAATTTGGAAAAAATTATGTATGTCACCTACATCTTTCTTCAAATCTGGACAATGATAAAAAGTTCCAGGACAACAACACTGCTGGATAACCCTACACAAAATCAGTTTCTGCAAGAATGCAGTTTGATAGTACAACAGGCTAAGTTTCTGAAGTTTTATAAAAACCCCCAAACCTTGTACGCCTCCATTCCACAACTAGTTGCTCTAGTGCTTACCTAGCTTTATCACTAAGAAAAAAAATTCTAATATGTAATACATTCCACAACTAGTTGCTCTAGTGCTTACCCAGCTTTATCACTAAGAAAAAAAAATTCTAATATGTAATATTGAAACACCTTTGTTACAAATTAAACTAAGTAATTCTTGTTTTGTTCACTACAACCTTGGGAGAGCAGTGAATCGCCATCTTCTTTATGAATTTGTTTTACGTATTTGAAGTTACATCCATGATCACTCCAACAATCTCATCTGAGACAAAGTAAATCCAAATTTTCCATGTTTGCCAAAAGAGTATGGTTTTCAAATCTTACTTCTGTTTTCGCTGCTGCACTGTAACATCTTCCTTGAGAAATAATGCCCAAAGACTGCCATTTTCATCGAGTCCTCAACAGCAACAACAGAATCATAGTTATCTTCCATCTTTTCCATGTAAATTGGTATTAACACACACTGGAAATAAAACTTAGTCTTTTTCAGCTTTACTAAGGACACTTATCAACTCCCTAGAACTTCCAGATCCTTTAATTTTCTAATATTATTACCAACCATTTGTTCTTTGTACTGTATGCTTGCATTTGATTTCTGTTCTGGTATATCCTTCCATACTGGCATTTATTGGATTCCCCTCTTTTTAATTTAAAATCATACCAGATTTAGTCAGATCTTAAACATTTGTGTTCTTCAATTTATCTGAAATTCTGCCTGCTGTAAACAAATTTTACGTGCATCGTTAATTCCATCATCCACAATGAAAACACTGCAAGAAAACATGATTCAGAAAATCTTTTTAGATTCTCCTATTGAAATTTTTCCTGACGTTACCAGGAACAGTTAAAAGACTAATCAGAGAACAGGTAGTTTTCCAATCACTTATTTCCCTAGCTTCCTTAGAACATTATATAAGGCATTATTAACGATCACCAGGTTATGCATCAGAGGGTAGTAACTGTGAAACACAGCAAGTGAAGCCTCAGAGAGTGTCACATTTTTTACAAATATGGACCATTTATAACCTTACTGTCCCTTAAAAACGAATTCTTAAAATGTTTGTCCTAGCATCTAAACTAGGCTAAGGTGTGTAATTAGTACGGTTGTCCCTTTCTAAATATGCAAGTGCCGTACCTGTACTTCTCTATCATTCTCATGTTATCTGCCTGGAGTTTTGCCAAATACACATCAATGGTTCATAGTTTGCTTCAGAAGTTCCTTTAACTTGTTCACTAGTGTTGCCAGTAAAGCTTCTCACCGCACACCTTAGCCACTTGCTAAAATTAACCCTTCAGTATTTTTTTCTCAGCAAGATTAACATGAAATTTGTTTTATTTATTTTCTAGTTCCGATTTTCAACTCCTTATCTTGTGTAGCTTTCGTTTACATTTGAGGACTAAGAAACCATAGACCTCTGCAGGTGGAACAAAGTAGCATTAAGCTATCTTCAAGGTGCCTGTGAACCATTAACCCCCCTTGTAGTAACTGGTGAAATTAAGGCACAAACCAGCAATTTGTCCCCAGAAAAGTAACTTACCTTCTTGTCTCCTGAGCACATGTTCTAAATAAAAACTGTACAGAAGGGCCCCAGAGCTCCAACGTTAATTCAGAAGATTTGCTAATTTTGCTCGCTAAACTTGAGATACTTTAGGTCTAGATTTTACCTGCATTTAGCACCCTATGGCACTTGTGATCAAAAATTCATTCCCATTGGCATGAGTTGAAACTGGTGAATTCCCAGCAAACAAATAACAGGATCTCAACTCAGCCACAGAGAAAACAAGGAACTCAATCAGCAGCTAACTATGAAGAACACACAGGATTACTACATACCCTTATACAATTATGTTAACCTAGGCATAAGATTCGACATTAAATATGTACGGAACGGAGCAAATTATCTGTCTGGAAATCATAAACTGAAACTCATGTAACATATTTTTGAGTGTGGGTGTATGAACAAAGCACTAATGTACTTATTTCCCAAGCGGGACAGAGAACATTAAAAAAAGAACAGATAATGAAGAAAGTCTCCTTTTTCCACAGAGCAAAGCACTGATATCATGGCATCCAGATCTTCAAGTAAACATTTCATACTGAAATCAGTAGCATCTGAATTACAGGAATTGCAGCAATATAACTCCTACCTAAATCAGCTGCAATGAGAAGATGAATTCCTTTTCACTGGGAAAGGATCTATACTCAGATTATTCCTCTGCAAAACCAGCTAGCTAATAGTGAAGGTGCAGAAGAAAACTGTGTAAAAATTATGTTGCTATTTTAATACATTAAAGACAAAATAAAAAGCTCTGCTCCCACCTGGTGGCAAAAAATAGTACAGAAACAGTAAAAGTCTAGAAAGTTAACTTAAAGCTGAAGCAACTTGGACAAGACAAAAAACCTTTTTCATCCATGGCAAGCAGTTGTAGCTTTATGGTTGTCACAAAATAGTTTTAAGTTAAAATTCATTACCAAATGATAGCTTAAGATTTTAAGAGTACAACATACTCCACATGTATGGGTTCATACAAACCATAATCACCTGCTTATACATTTGTTTTTAATATGATCAACTGCATTTGTGACACCTAAGTGAAAAATACAGAGAAATATAAATTATTCTGACAGCTTTCCTCTCAACAGACATTTTAAGTAATGAAACCATTATTAAGGAGGGGGTGAGAGGCTGGCCTATACTTCTGGATATTCTGAATAGAAATCTCCAGGTCAGTTCTGGTTAGAGCCGAAAACTTTGACTTGAAGCTGTCACACACGAAACGCCATTGTACTTGTAAATCAGCTTGTAGCATAAATAGCAGGATTTTGCACAAGCCTTTTTACATGCAGACTATTTCACAGATTTAAAATAATTATTTTTGTTCCAACACTCGTAAGTCAGTGACACAAAACGCAACCAACTGGGTATTTGTCTTCATATTTTCTGGCTGAATCTGCAAAAACAATCCCATGCACATTCTAGCATTTCTCATTAGAGCCACAAATATGACAGGTCAAAGCCTTTATATCACACATTGTCTTTCCTGATGTACCCTCTGGACGGATGGTTATTCTTGAACAGACAATAGCTAGCATTGTTTCTGAATAAAATATTGTTTATAATGGTTAAGGATAATTCTTCAAAATTTGAAAGACAGACCTCTCAAAAGGCAAATCAGTAAGTATAAAAACTATTTCCAGAACTAGAATTTCTGAAGCAGGATCTATTTAGACATTACACTTAAGCTACTGTAGGTGTCCAGGAATTTCAGCTACTTTGGCATAAATATATTAATACTCTTCTCGTAATAGAATGCATTACAAGATTATAAATACTGGATAATATAACACACCATTTTCAGAACAAACTTTTCTAATGTATTCTCCCTACTACAGTAACACACAGCTGAATGCAACCAGCCTATTTAAAATCAGAGATCACTTAAACATATTGTTTATGTTAGCAGCAATAGTTTTACCGCATCTGGGATAATGACATGGTAATGTCTCATTGGAATGTTTACGCAGGGGGATACAAAACTAGCTTTTTTAAATTACATCTTTCATAGCAGCGTTTGAACAGCCATCTTATTAAGAACATTAACAGAGAAATCTTCTCTATCAATATTGCATGCTCCTGTTTACAAGCCGAGTTAACCTTCCAGAGTAACATCCACTCGTGTGTATTAACTATACCTGCAATCTTTATGGCTACAGGATCCTCTGAAACTGGAACAGGTCCCTCTTTGACTTCAACCTGTTTTTCAGGGACCAGAGTAGATGTGGCAGGAGGGGTATACTTAGTCTCAACATAGACCACAGATGTGGAAGCAGAGGGCTTGGAATTGTGAAAAAGACTAGCCCACGATTTTGCAGGCTGATTAACAGGGACTGATCCTGCAACCGGGACTGTTGCCTCAGTAGTAGGTGAAGCTTCCTCAGGCTTAGCTTGATCTGAGTCAGTGCTTTCCACAGTGTGCAATTCTACCCCATTGGCAGCTGTGTCCTCACCAGAGGATTCAAGTGTTTGTCCATTAGTAACGCCAAGATTTTCAGTAGTATCAGTACCAGCATAAGACTGTACAACAGCTGTCCTTAAGGGGCTACCTCTGCCAGTCTCTGAGGGGATGCAAAACTGTTCAGAATTAGTAACACAGCATACCTCAGGCTGCCCTGCAGTCCTGGTATTGTCTAGTGCGCTAGAAACAGAATCATCAGAGACAGCTTCATTAATGAAGTCCACAGAATTGTCCGGGCTGTTGCAAGTCCTTGGTGTGGCCAGGGAGGGTATGTCTCCCGTCAGTTCCGTATCCTCCGTGCTTATACTGTTTAGTCCCGATGAATTTGCATGGCCATTTACAAGAGCTTCTGTTGGAGCAATGCCGTCACTGACATCTTCCAAGTAACTGTAGTATCCAGGCGGTCTTTTTTTCTTCTTTTTACGCTCCCTTTGCCCAAGGCCTCCAGACAAGCCATCGTTTTCAGCGTTAGAACCGCTGTCCAAAGCGAGGGTTGGATCAGTGAACTGGCAGTCAATGGAATTGTAGTTTGTTTCACTGAGACTGTCATCAGGGGTTTTCTGAGCAGGTGCACAGCTGAGAATGAATTCTGGAGCCTGAGGATTCAGAGTACTTGAAATACTGTAGTCGGTGTTATTTAGTACAGATGACTGTGTCTCAATAACTTCATTAACACCAAATTCAATTCTCTGATACTCTTCCCCTGGACAAGAGAAAGCAAACCTGAGTTAGTGAATGACATCTAATCAAAAAGCTACAAAAATCAAGAAAAAACCTCCGTATTTTCCTGCAACTCAGAAAACAAACTACATTCCCTCAAACTAAAATAATTCTTATTCTCTACCTCAGTTCTGAAGGCCATTTCAAAACATCATTTTCCTAAAGAAAACAGAGTATGATTCAGGTTTTCTTAAACAGAGTATGTAATTTTCCAAATCACTGCACAGTTCCTGCAAATAACACCTATTAAATTCACCTATTAAGAAAAACTATTAAAGCCCAATGACTTTAGCAATATTCTACATGAAGTTAATTACTGGATAATTGCCTATAAAATATGGTGCAATATTTAACTCCACACTTCTAAAGCCAGTCTTTTCCACTGACAATTACAAAATCCAAGCCTTTATCTGTTTAACTTCTAAAAATAATGTCCACATGTGGAGTTTGTTTTTTGGGGGGTTTGTTTGGTTTGGTTTTCGTGGTGTGTAAAGATTTACCATAATCCTTAATAACTGAAAAATATTTTCTTAATTGTATGGAAACACTGGAATTACAGCTTTTGAAACTCTAGGCTCATCAGTACCTTATTTAATTTTATCACAGTTGAATTTATTACTATATGAGAATATGATATATACGATTATATGATTTTATGACGAGAAATACAACAGATACGCCTCAACGTAAGTCAGTGTTCAACCTGTACATACAAGCAGTACTGAAAAATTTGTGAACAGGATTGGGCTTGAGGTTTGGGTTTTTTGGTTTGGTTTTTGTTGGGTTTTATTTATTTATTTATTTACCCTGGAACCTTGACATGCTTTTTAAAGAAACTCTAAGAAATACTTCTCATGGCAGGCTGCAGTATCACAAAATATTGTCAGTCACAAAGTACTGCAATTTCATGGAACTTAATTAGTTTTATAATGCATGCATCCTAACTAGTAACACTGACTACTTCAGTTACAACTATTTCCATAACTATCAAAGAGATAATATTAATGAAACTGAGTCTCAGGAACGTTAAAGGTAAGCCCACATATTAGTACTTAAAGTTTTGTAGGTCTTTCCATGATATGTATGTTACTGTTTCAAAGACATTAATTTTAACATCTTCTGTTTCCTCAAAGATGGGGGGCTAAAGAACACATTTTAAATTTTTAAGACTGTTACTAGAGAACCAAAAAACACTAGATACTATTTCCAAAGGAATATAAGCGGATACACCACTAAACTTTAAAGATTTTGTGGAACTTACATTATGTATGACACGTCAACAAATGCATATTTTCAAGTATACTACAGACACTCATTAAAAATGAGGTGTGGTGGGTTTTGTTTGTTTGGGTTTTTTTGGTTTTGGTGTTTTGGGTTTTTTTTGTTTTTTTTGTTTTTTTTGTTTTTTTTTCTGAAACACAACAAAAAGCAAGCCTAAGGAAAAAATGTTATTCGCACACCTAAGGAAAGAATCCTATGGGAGGACAGAGTCTAGTGGAGAACGTTTTGATACATAACTGTCAACATAACCGATTTGAAACTGTCCAAATATTTTATAGAAAAGTCCACTGATGAAAATTTTAGCTTTAAAAACAAATGTGAAAGAAACAAGAATCTACAGGGTACATATTTTTTAATATGAAGCACAACAAACATTCAATGTGTGTTGAGGTCTGACTTACACATGCAATACCAACATATTACGAATTAATGAACAAAGATATATAATAGATATTGTTTTTCTGCTTTGATCTATTAACTCTAACTAAATGAGAAGTAAACACATTTCACGTATCAATTTCAATCTTGCTGCCAGTCAGACTAAAGGAAACTAAAAATGGGGAGAAAAAACCTCTCCATACACATCTGATTTCTCTCAATCATGTTAACAAGAGCTTGAATTTCAAATTTTCTTCACCTCTCCCCTACACCCGTGAGAAAGCATTTTGTAACACCATGCCTGTCAATCCACCATTCACCAACTACTTCTGCAATCACTGACTAGCTATCACCAACCAGGAAAGAGGGCTTAAGTTTCTTTTAAAAAAAATCAGCAGCCTCGAGGCAGGGAGGTGGAAAGCTGCTGCCTGATACCCACCTAAGAGGGAAGGGCTGGGAGATGTCGGGCATCACCTAACTGCTTAGCAGCAACCTTAGCTGGCTATCAGTGCTATACGCTGGCTGACCTGTCAGGACATGCAGCTCGAAACCAGCCACAGCTTCATTTGCTTGCAAATGCAGGGCACAGGTTTTAAGGGATATGGGATACAAATCCACAACAAAACTATTCCTCATTAGTTCATCTACTTATGGAGCAACTTGTTAGTTCAAGCATGAACCAAGAGCTAGCTCGTTACCCGTTGTAAGAGTAAAAAGCACAAGCAACAACTGGTAACACCTAATATTCCCCCAACCACGATAAAAATGAATTATTGGGCACATTTCAAATCCCTACCAAGTCAAAGAAATCTGGGACTTCTGTTTCTTTTCCAAAATCTCGGTTAAAAAAATAGTAATTGCTTCAAAACAAAGAACGTGGCTTCCCTTTGTGGACAAGTTAAGACTACCACAGCCAAAAGTGAGAGTTCTCAGTTCCGCACTCCTGTTCTGCTCCTCTACTCCAGCAAGCTTCCAGCACTTGTGTCACTGAAAGCTAACCTAGCAAAAAAGATAATCCAAGCCAGTATTTTTTTCTTCTGTTTTGGTGAACTCATCAGCGTACTGCACACTAGACAATCACAAGAGCCAGCTCAGGGCAAGTGGGCAGCAAAACCAAAACATATCCCTTACAATTATGGCACAATGGTAATGTAGCTGAAGGTGCAACATGAACATCATAGACTAAAATCTTGCCAAAAGCATAACTGATATTGTAGTATTTACATACAAATTAGGAAGTTACTGCTGAGGAATTAAACTTCACACCTTGCAGCAGGATTAGAATAATAAATACCAGTAGCTACTGTATAGTTAGTCTATGGGATGACTGGCAGAAGCTCATTTGCCATAAGATTGTGTCAAGTTCCTTTGAAAAAATGAGAGGTAATTTTTTCTATTTGTTTTGACTTTCCACTCTGCTTCTGGGCATCTTTGTTTCAGTCTAGTTCACAGCGCTATTTCTGAATGGACTGCAACAGACATATCTGTCATGAACAACATGACACACATATTGAAACAAGTATCAACAGATGCTCCAAGGACAAAGTCTACGTACAATAACAAAAGCTGTGAATACATAGCACTAATTAGTCTGAACAGAGTTCTGCATATTAGAGCGTCAGCCGTGATTTGATTATTCCTAGTAAGTATTAACAGATCTTCTAATTCCGTAATAAAGTTAAATACTGAAGATAAGTATAGGAAAAAAATTAGACTACAGGGTGGTGACAATATGATCAGTGTGTGTCATCTCATTATAATTATAAATATTCTGCATAAGCATAGCATTCCATTTTAGTTTCCACAGCTTCTTATGCAGCCATCACAGTGATAATATGCATGCACAGTACAGTGCAAGCTTGTTAAAGACATTTTTCAGGCAAAACCTAATTGCTGTCATTACCTAATCTCAAGGCTGGGAGGGGTTCTCTCAGGGTCTAGGAATGATCTGAAAAACATTTGTACAAACCAACTTTCTGTATGGCTTGTGAACATTAAAATCTCAGTCTTAAGTAATAGAACTTAAATCCATAGTTAGACAAAGCAATATATGACTGGATGCCCCTGTCATCAACAACAAACAATTCGTACCATATGGTCTTTTTAATGAACATTTCAAACTCCTACTTAAAACCACTCAGGGGCCTAACACTAGTCTTGTACTAAATAAAGCTCCTGAATTTTCAGAAATATTGCACATCTGCTTTCAAATGGGACCTGTTGTCCTTCTTTATGACTAGCTATCTTATTTACCTTTAAATGCAAGGCCAAAGTTGCTAAGCATAATGATCAGGTGTTCTTAAACATTAATATGTGCATTTTGGTCCTCTCAAGTACTTTTGAGAAATGTCCAGACAGACACTTGTATTATTTTGAAGGAGATCTGGATGTCATTTGTATCACTCTCATATACATCTGGGTAAGTCTCAGCTTCCTTGCTCTCCCCTGGTTCAGGGAAAAAAAACCAAACACTAATTTACCTGCCGCTTCAAATACTGAGAAAGTTCGGTTTAAACTATATAGAGTGATGCTCACATGGCAACTCCTACTTAACTGTCAACTTTATATAACTATGAAGTAAGGCCAAGTTGTAAGGTGTATGGGTTGAGACAGAGTAGACGTGTGACTGTTACAGTTTTAAAATGGGAACTCTGTAATGCATTTTTACATCAACAGTCATACTTTCACAAAAAAAAAAAAGGAGCGGGGAGGAGGGTTCCAAAAAAATAGCTGAGCCAGACAGAAACAAGAGTCAAGGGGAACACGGAACAGAGCACTGCTTGCAGAGCTGTCTTCAGGTTGCAACTGCCAGAAAATACTCATATTGTGGCTCTTACACAAGGACCAGCTGAATGCCACACTAGTTACTTATTTCTTCAGTACAAGTCCTCTAGCAAGCTTCAGCCCCCCCATTTTTACAGCTACATCCTACAATATTTCAGCAAGACATTAAGATTGTGTGGTAGCATAATCGAGGAGTAAGCATGTCCACTCTAATTAGCTGAAGTTCAATGCAGTATTTTCAAATACTCTCAAGGATCTCATTCAATAAAGGTGTTTAAAAAACCAACCTGCCAAATATATGCACATGTAACTGCTGAACGAGTTCTAAGATTAAATTTAAAGAGAGGTTGTAGTAAATCTAAGGAAAGCGTCACAACATTTAAGTTTAAAAACAAAAGGATGTTGATTTCTTACCATCGTGAAACTTACCCGTGGACTTAATACCACATGAAACTGTTTCATTGTATGGGGGGAGCTGTACAAAAAAGAAATGAAACTTATTTAAGGACAAAGCTACTATATTAACATTTGATAATCAGTTTCATTTGAAACATCTAAATCCTTTAAAAATAAATTATTAAGGTTTGATTTTCTGAGAGTATGTCTTGAACTCATGCTTCTATATTTATCAAATCCCACACTGTAGCTTCAAGTGTCCTTGCAGATTACCACAATTACTGAAAGATAAAGATTATCTTGGTTACACACCATAGGCTCATCAACTTCTCAAGCAATTCACCTCACAGCATCAGGATCTTCCTTCATCAACAGTAACTCACTATGATTTTAAAATGAGGAACATAACCTCTTTTTAGACAAAAACTGAATATAGACCAAATTACCTGTGAAAGGATGAAACAAAGTTTTGCACAGACAATAGCCATACCTAAACCTTTTGACTCTCAACCTGGTTCAGCTATAGTGTTGCCCTTAAAATGTTTCAGCTAAGGTGTATTCTTAACCACCTATAACAAAATCAACAATATTTTATCATCAGCCTAAGCATAATGTAACCACAGCATATAGTTTTTATCTGGATTGTAAATATGTCTGATATAAAACACTGGCACCATTTTATGGACTCAATGGTTGACAGAACCCCTGCTATTGTGCAACCACAGGTGGGCAATTTCTAATCCCCCCTCGCCAGCCGCCAAACTCCCCCAGCAGCTGAAAGCCTTCCCCTGTGCCTGCATGAACTGGTAGGCATCGCTACTTTGCAGTCCAGCAGCTCCCTGGAGAACAGCTGAACTGTTTCTGCAGTGGGAGATAAAACTTTAAGAGTATAGTGCAGTTTTATAATGCTATTCTAACTTTTAATCACAATGGTGTAACAAATATCAAAGACTTCTCCACCGAAGTTCTCTAAAGCTACAGATACTTACATATTGCCTTCTTAAAGCACTGTAGACAACAGTGCGTCAGAAGAAGCAAGAAAAATATTCCTAAAATTCCATTATAAAAAAGTGCATAAAAAGAACGCATACTGTAAAATCCATTTATAAACCATAATACATCTTAATACATCAACTTTCCAGGTCAAAAGTGAGAATCAATGGGTCAGAAAGAGGCTCCAAGCTGTTAAGAACCTATTATCCATATTAACATTGAACACAGATTCAATATAATTTTATAGTTAGAGCTAAAAAAGTTACTCTAAAAGTCTACAGTCAACAGTTTATGATAAAACTTGTAATTCTTGTTTTTCTCCAATTCAAAGGGCTTAAGAAAATACAAAGTAAAAAAGAAAATTAAAAAAATAAAGTAGTCCACCTATTGGTCCCCTACATATCTGATTAATCAACAGCACTTTTGCAAAGTAAAGATTTCTGAGTTGACCTGTTTCATACAACTGGGTCATCTGAATCACCTCAGTCAAGAAGTATCTGACAGAACATGTATTAAAAATGCTATGTAAAAAGAGACATTCTAGACAACTTTTAGCTTTAACTAGTCCCTTGCCTCAGTTCACCCTTCAGTCTATAGGTAAGGGACTTCAGAAGGACACCAGCACCAACGGATGCTGGGACTCCCAGAACTGGCACTGCCCCCAACAGAATGTATGTCAAACACCACTGCAGTATTATCATCTCAGTCTTGTCCTTCTTGAACTTCACCCTATTTTTTCAGACCACTTTTCTCTGAAATATCTGCACAGTGTAAAACTAATAAGCATAATTTTTATTTCATCATCCAGATAATTAAAACATTGAACTGAACCAGATCAAGGACAAACTTAAGGAACATCACTCAACACAGTTTTTTATTTTGACAGCTAACCAGTAAGTGATACACTTGAAACAGTTATAAAATGAAGTAAGACTGGTTCAAACGTTGTAGGTTCATGTTTCCTCAACACACTTTACGAGAACAGCTTTAGAGAAGTCAAGATGTGACATTTTCATCTTCCACAATGTAAGTGTTAGAATAGCTGATGTAGGACACATCAGGTGACACTACATAGGCTGCAAACGTCACACTGCTGCTACGGTATTTAATGGTGGGAAAACAGCAATATAATCAGAAGAAACATGTATTACCTGAAGATCTATTCTGCATTACTTCCCACCTACCAGAGAAGATACAAAGCTATCCCTAAAGGCAAGTAGAAGCTATCTTTTTCTCTCTAAACTTCCCCTACCCCCCACCCTACCCCATTCCTTTCACACACTTTTATTGTTTAGTGTTATACTATAGTAATTATACTTGGAAAATTAATTTACAGGAAACTTAAGTTGCATTAACAATGGCCATTAGATTTGTAAAATGTGACAAAAGGATTTCCCCATCTACAGTTGGAGTGCTCATTTCCTTTATGTAGAGGGGGGAGGACGGAAGCATGATTGAAATGTTTGAATAGAAACGTATGGAGGAAAAACATGGAAATTGACCTAGAGGAAAATTATTTTTCAAGTCTGGAGACTAGGACAATGGCATAATACTCTTCCCTACAAAGAAAAATGGTTTATTCACTCTCTACCAAGAACTACAGAGAATAAGAGTCTACAATACTATCTGTAGTATGTTATGATCTCAAACACACACAGACAACTGTTTCCACCCTGTGGTTCTCACTGCCACTGTAATTAGTTCATTATTGATCCATCTCTCAGACCTCATGCACAGCCTTCCTCGTAAGCATACCTTTGACGGTTAGCAGTGCTCCACCTGTCAAAAAATAAGCATCCTTGTGCTTCAAAAGGCTCACAAGATTTAGAATCCCACCTTACTTACAACCAAGAACACTGCTGAAAAAGTTTTCTCTATATCCACCTCTAAAAAAGTAAAAAAATCAAAGCTAAGGTAACAGGGCTGTAACTCACTTTTAACATCCTATCACTACAATGTCAGCTATTCCAGCTCTGAAAGATGACAAGCATTAAGGTGGAATAATTAATTTCTTATTTCTAAAAATTGATTTAACAACCACATACGTGGAAAGAAGACTCCTGTTCAATATCTTCAGTTTGTAAATTAGCAAGCTAAGAGACTGATAAAAAAATATTCCAAATATACACAAAGAGATGTAGCTTTTAAATGTTATTTCTAAAAGAAGTTTAAAGTAGATCTTACCTCAACAGAGCATCGTGGAGTCACAAAGAACTGATTAAATTCATCAGGGCTGAACTCCCCAAAAATATACTAAAAATAAAAGAGAGGGATCTTTGTTAAAGAAGGATTTATATTCAATACAGTTAATAAATTCATGGTAAAATTTATTAAGATACTAGCATTGAAAAAGACCTGTGTGTTGGGAGCCAGAAACTCACCTGTTTGCATCCCAACTCTCACTTCAATTCCTTCCCAAGTCTTTAGCAAAGTACTTTAGGCTCTAAAACCGTATGCAATGCATTTTCCTTCAAATTCCCACTAGAGGTAATCACAGCACAAACTGCAGCTCATCCTGTGACCAGTTTTAAACCAACATGTAGGGTGAGAAGTTGCATCAGTTCATATAAGCCTTAGACGCAAGCTGATGTACCTTCTAAGACAACACAGGTACCTACCTTTCACAACAGAAAAAACAAGAATTATTTTTCCAGAGTTCTGCTAAACTAACGTTACGCAAAACTAATGGTACCACTACCTGAGTGCACAAGCACAGAACTGAAAATGCCTAGAAAAACACACTGCAGAAAAATACACACGATCTAAATATCATCAATTTTGGTACCGCTGCTCTTAAAAATTTTGTTACCCCTGTGCCTGAAACTCTGCATAACAAACCTAAGATAAAATGTCTTTTCCCAGCATTATCTTCTCACACTCTTTTAGATATTTTGCATCTATATTTCTATGGAAAAAACCAAGTACCTAACAAGACCACAAAAACCCCATACTAACATGAGAGCTTATATTTAGTTTACAGAAAATGAAACATTCCCAATAAAAAGACCTGACATGTTGGCATTTCATAGCACCTGGAAGTTACTATAAAACTTCCACCACCAGTTGTAATTAGCTGAATAGCATCTGAACATTCAGGACAGCAGAGAGATACTGAGACAGAAAGAAGCTGAACAAGGAGTTGAATAAACTGACACAATAGACAAGAGGACTGGAAAATACCACTAATAACACATTCTTGGCATGTGGAAGGATATTCACATTAACAGTCACTAGTCACAAATATTATGGCTATGGACAAAAGCAGGTCGGTTTGGTCCAGCACCTTACAGCTTACCAGTCTCATTCATCTTCAGTGTACTGTGATCGTCATTTAAGACAATTCTTTGCTATCCTCCACCCTTCCATGAGAAAACCACAGCATACACCAGTTTTTTCATCAGTATCAAGTCTTGCTCATGGCAAATCCTTAGCTTCGCTGTATCAAGGTACAACTAACTAAATTGGGAATTGAGCCATAAAAAACAGTAGTTCTCAAACTCTGAAAAATCATCTCTAGTGAAGTGCAGGCTGCTGCCACAAACAGTACATACAGTAATTCAATCACAGCATATTTTTTAGACTTTAGCTGGTTCATTCCATTAAAATTCATATACTTGCTGTTTGCATGACTCTCAGCCATCTACATTCATAAATTTCAAAGCTTAAGTTTAAGCTAAATTCCACAGCAATTACAAAATGTAGTTTTCTTAAACAAAAAGTGATTTATACATACATCACTTCTATGTGTAGAAGGAGTTCAACCGTTTTAATGCCCTTCAGTGTTTTTAAACACATATGGATATAATCTGGTTTAGTCGACAAACAATTCTAACAGTCAAAACAAACTGGAACATGTGTCATACAAACATTCGAAGCACAGTGAAACAGTTAATGCTTTACATAACATTCACATAACCAACTGCTAACTACCAACCGAGACAGTAGAACACCTAAACCGAACAGGATCCCTAAATTGTACTTGAGTGAACTACATTCACAGTTCTTCACAGTTCTTGGCACAGGATTCAAACTTGGCTTATGCTCTTAATATAACTAAGTAATTTTTATTCAGTAACACACCAGCTGAAATTTATTGTATTCCAAAAACACACCTACAAAAAACACTTGCTGAATCATTTATGGTTTTAGGACATATTTTTGATGCAGTCATGCGACAAAACAAAACAACAATCTCAACTATAGACTATTAAAAGTTATATAAATCCAACCCTAATTCCTCCATGTAGTAATACAGTCTTTTCATTTACCAACGTTTTTAGCCAAGGTATCACAGGCCTGGTACTTCTTTCTGAGGAAAAGAAAGTGCTACTTTTTAATTAGGGAACACAAGACAAAAGTTAAACAAAGCGATCATTAATACCACCTTAATGGAACTGTTTTACTATATAAAGATGTATTCACATAGGGAAATGTGTCTATGCAACTGTTTCTTCATAATTTAAAACAGGACATTAAAAATTTACCAACCACTAACCCAAAAACTAATCCTAGTCCGACCATAGCGCAAAACCCCCCATCCCATTTGGGCCTGAAGAAACCAGAATTTTATTTGATTTTATGAGGCTTTATTTAACAATGCTTTATACCTGCAAACACGAAGTAAACCATTTAAAAGATCCCTGCATAATAAACTAAGAAAAATACTGTTTCAAAATAAACTTATTAAGCCATATGACTGATGACATTAAACCTACTCAATTTAACCAACCTTCTTGTCCTCTGCCTCTCAAGTTAGCCTTGTCTCTCAAGAAACAGATTTCTGCAAGCTGCACACACAGCACCCTCTGCTAGCACGACAGAATTTTCTACCCTTTTTAAGGCAACACTACGTGCTGACATGAAAAAGAACTGAGCTATCACATCACTTGGCGAGTATAATAATCTCTACAAAAAAGGATGCAGAGGTGGGGAAAGCCATTGCATTTTAAGCAACCTGAAACACAGTGCTAGCTCCCTGCCTGCTGTCCGTCCATCCTACATGCCAATGAAGCAGCATGCCTGGCGCTATACAAATGATCTCTGTGTAAGATCATACTTGTTTTAGCTGTGAAACAGCTTCAGAAAGACATCACTTTAGTACTTACTCTGAACCATTAATTCAAACTTAAAAGGTTTTTCTGCAACTGAAATACCTAAGTAGAAAGCATTTTTAAGTAAGAGAGCACTAGGATTTTATAAAAGCAATACACCCTTGCAAGAAATAACCTCATAAGCAGCATGAGCTTCTGGGGACCTAGGTTGTACACTCTAAATTATTCCACATAATTTCAAAAGCCTCAATTAGCTTTTTTTCAAACTGACAAATACTTGGAACAGTAAAACAGAAGTTTAATTAAATTATTTACACAACTCCTACACAAGCTACTCACAATCAGCATTAGTTTACCCCACACTCTGCAAACGACATTTAAAACACACAGCAGAGATACACTAGCATGTGTTAAAACTTTGCCAAAGCCATTTCAGACTATTTCAATTCCAATTTTAATATTTTCAGGTGTGCATTTGTGTAAGACATACCATAAGGACTACATAAAATTGATTCCTTTAAATGCCGAACTCGAAACTGTATCAATCTCTAAACTTGTTGTGTACTTCACAGCACTTCGAAGTCCCAATCATAGATAACAGACTGGGACTTCACCACACAAGCTCCAAGGGAAAAGTGGGTTTCAGATACAGACTGCTTACGGTCAGTCCTAACGCAGGCAAGAGACGGTGATTTGCTCGGAGGTAAGCTGCTTGTCATGCCGCCCATTACCGACGTGTCAGTGCATCAAGAGCCTTTTACTTTACAGTAACTGCAACTGCATAGTTACCTGAGCAAAGGACGAGCACAATTGCCATGACAATGCATATGAACAGGCAGCTGAATTGGCCCAGTTAGCGAAATCCATGCCTATTACCATCGACAATACATAAACTAAAGTATGTTTGGCAACATAAAACCCAAAACATTAAAAAATATTACCAGTGAAAAGTTGAAGCTTAATTACTTAGAGCTCTACACAAATTTCATTTTAAGGCAAAAAATCAACCTTTCTCCAAGCAAAAACACTGTTTAGCATTCAATTACATATTTCAAAAATTAATTTTTATTTATATCCTCAGACAAAAAAGATCTGCTTGAAAAGCATGCTAAATAGTAGCCAACGGTCTAAGTGGTAACTCACAAGGTAGAGCCAAGAACGATGTTTAGAAAAGAGAGTCCAGTCTTACACAGACACTGGATTTGGAAGGAAAACTCTAAGTAATACTGGGGGGAAGTTTTGAAAATTTCAGATTGTAACATTACCCCTAGACTTACTTTTAAAGATACATAATCCCTAAGAGGCTTAATTCAGAGTCAAATCTGATCTCCCTCTCCTTCTCAAACCATCTCTGCAACCTACATAGAAGCTTTCTGTTCTGGCTCCCAGGAAGGAATCCTCTCTCACTTTTTTTTGGGAGCACATATTTCACACTGCATTTCTCCTGCTACTCCCCAGATTATTTAATTCTGCAGAGCAATCATTAACCTTGCATTAAGTGTATTCAAGGATCCCTTAAAATCCCTCAGGCTGGTGAGCTTGATTTCTGCTATAGATTGAGAGCAATGTCAAAACAATATCATACAAATTTCAATGATCTTCCACTTGCAGCTGTATAAGAAAAACAGATGGAAAATAATAGTCTCCTCTGGAGGGAGGCAGGGGCATGGGGGTGTGGAGAGGACAAGGCTTTGTGGAATTCTTGGGGGGCG